GAGGGCTCAGTTCAACTCACTTCTGTGGAGCAGTTAATATACTGGAAGTCCTTCAACTCACATGAGCTGCCGGGTCCGAGGTCAGGGAAGCAGATGGCTAAGTCTTCCCTTAGGCACTGCAGGCAGAGTCCACCCACAGGCAGCAAACAGCAAGGTGTCAGCAACAGTCAGCAGCTCAGTAGCTTAGGAAACAGGCCCAGATGGGATATCGAACTCAAGCAATGTGCGATCCACCAGCTTCAAGCTCAAGCGATGTATACACCAGCAGTGGGGCGAAGCAGGTCTCGCAGGAACCTCAGGCTCTAGAGACATGATCCACAGGTTGGCTGTCCCACAAGTAGTGCAGTGCACAAGTTGAGGCAGAGAACTAGCTAAAGCAGCCACAGGCTGGTCCAATCACCAGAGAGCAAGATGGAGGGGTGGACCTTGCCAAGCCATTTATCTCTTTGCCCTCCAATCAAGCTGAGACCTGGTTAGTCCCACAGGTTCCTATTGGCCAGGTTGGCACAGTAAACCTGCCTATCACACCCTTCAGTGAACAGTTGTTTATCCCACTTTCCATTGGTTTCTGTTTCCATTCTTCCTTCTTTTCTAACCCTCTGTCCTTGGGTGAATATATCAGAAGAATAAAGCCTTTAAGACCACAATGCCAGTATTCATTCAGGGTTCATTCTAATAGGGGATTGAGTTTAAGTCCAGACCTAGAGAGGGGCTCGGGGTTTGGGGGTCTCACCAGTCTTTATCTGACCCATAAGCCTCTACCCTTTTACAATGCAGAGTTCTGCTCCACATTTTTTCTCCCACTCTGTCCAGCACCTTCTAAGGTGCTCCTTTCCAGAGTCGTTGGTAGTGGTAGGAGGGGACCAGCCAGTCCTTTTAGTTTCAGGGCTGAGACTCGTCTGGTCCATTTGTCCTTGGAACGAATTGTTTCCGTGTGTTTTTCTGTTGTCTCAGTCTTCTTTCCTCCAGTGGGGAAGAGACCAACATTTTCACTTTGCACAATTGCTCATGAGCTGGTAAGACCCTTGTTGCTACTCACCGAAGTAGGATGAGGAGCACTGTCTTTGTGAACTATGCTATGCCAGTTAACTTGGGGTCCCCTAAGATTATGGTCTTGAACCCTCAGGCCAAGTGACTCATTCCTTTGGGGTGTTTGGTTATGTCTTGGAAGTTTTCATGACCTCGGCCCATCTATGCACTACCATATCCATGTATATATTTGCAGCAAAGGGAAATACACATGTTCAAATCTTCTCTGGCAAACCTAGATGTATTCGCGTCTGTAATTCCACCCTCTCACACCTGTTCAGCCTGCACGTCTATCCAAGCATCTGCTCAGAGATGACCACTGTTGGAAGATTGTGCTTGTAACCTCGGTCTGTACATAACCTAAAGCTATATTTACCTCGGTTGCCTTTAACTCTTGCAAGTTCCTGGGGTCTTCCCCTGCCCCCACATTTTTCCCCCTAACATCTCTCTTATGGCCCATTATCTTTCCCTTCACCCAAGTTCACCCTTGTCTACCCTCTACCTTCTGTGTGTGCCTCCTCCCTCTCCCTTCCCCTCCCACCCCGGTGACCACCAAAGGGTATCTTTTCACGTGGAAAACATTTTATTAGCGTGGTCTTATAGACTTGTTCTTTGTGATTGGCCCATTCAGCATCACGTCCTCCCGCTTCATCCGTGGTCGGAGGTGCTTCAGAGGCTCCCTGTTCTTCGGCACTGTGAGGCAGTCTGCTGTGTGTCCGTATTCCCTGGGAAAGCAGGGTGCTTCCATCTTCTTGTGAGTCGTGCTGCTCTGGGCGTGGGTGTGCATCTCTGCTTGTGCTGACTCTCTTGTTTCTCCAGGGTCGGAGTGAAGTACAGTAGAACACTGCTCAACCCCGTGGTCTTTCTAGTCCCCCCTTCTTGAGGAAGCGCCATCCCGCTTTCCACAGTCGCTGGACCACTTTGCAGCCACCAGCTGTGAATGAGAGCCCGGTGTCTCCAACTCTCGGCAGCATTGGCTTTCTGCTTCTGTCTGCTAGTTCTTTTTGAACTTTGCTGTGGATGCTGGAGGGATGTGCTATCTCTCACCGTGAGCCTCTCTTCGTCTCTGTCAGCCACCTGAATGTCTTCCTTGGTGAGGTGTCTGTCATGTCCGCTGCCCACTTTCCTTTCCTGGCTGAGGTGCTGATGTCTCCACAGACTTTAAGGGGAGTCCCTTGTCTGATCCATCATGGCCCATATTCCCCCCCCAAGGTCGTGGCCGCCCCGTTGCTCTCACCAGGACGTGACAGCTCAGGGCAGGGTCATGCAGCACCGCGGAGCCACGTGCCCAGGAATCACCTGAGGTCTTAAAAATACCTGACGTGGTGACATGTGGGTTATTTGTCAGGTTTGTGGGCCAGCTGAGCTAGATGGAGGAAAGGCATTGGAATGCAGACTGACTGGTGTATTTCTGACAGTTTCCATAGCCGGCCACACCCTTGGACAATCGGAGAGCACTTGTCTCCTGAGCTCTCTATCTAAATGTTGATTTGATGGTGTTTTGCTGTTCTCCATAATTCCCATTTTCTAGACAAACATGCATTCCTTCGAGCACGCCAGTTCACTAGCTTGCTGTACGTCACATCTCCTTTTAATTGGAAAACTCTCCTATGTGCTTCTGCTTACAGTAAAAGCTCCTTTACGATCCCAACGTCATGTTTTTGCCTTCTCCCTCACTTAATCGCCTCCCAAACGGTGCCATTTATCAAGCTTGCTACCAGTGCAGGCATTTTACAAGCAGCTGAATCTCAGATTTATTAGCTCTGCTGATTTTTACGTTTTCAGTTTCATTACTTTTTAATCTCTTCTTTCAGTTCTCTCCCAGGTTTACTGGCGTGCTGGCTTTCGGGCTTCTTGAGGCAGATGCTTCATTTCTTTCTTTTTAAAATAAATAAACAGGAGCCGCCAGGGCGCTAAGGAGTGTGCTGGCTGCTTCCTGTAAGTGTCTCAGGTGGAATGCCCATTGCCCGCACGGTCGGAATGACCTAGAGCGGCATCATGTCTCCTCCTTTGGTATTCCTTACTTAGGGATATGTTTCTAAGTC